GGGGGTGGTGGGGGGAGAGAAAAGAAAAAGAGTTTGCTTTCAGCCCCTCAATTCTTTGCTTGTGAGCACACTTTAATTTATAGAATCAGATCACAGAATCATAGAATGGTCTGAGTTGAAAGGGATCTTACAGCTCATCTTGTTCCAGCCCCCTGCCATGAGCAGGGACACCTTCCACTACCCCCAGATGCACATGTGCTCAGCCATCCTCAAATATTGGGTGGGCTGTGATGTGGATGATTTTACAGATGGCACTGAACTGCCAACCTTCCTTTGGGTGCAACCTGTGCCTGTCCCTTACATGCTGCAGAAAGCCAGTGCCAAAGTTTGAAGGACACTTTGGCTCTATTGGAGCCTGCCAGCCACACCAGCAAAAGCTCTGTGAAGGTACTTGATTCTGAGAGGAACAAAATTTACTCTATTAAAACACTACTCCATTAAGTTTCTCTTCTTCGTAATCCATTTCAATCCCTAAATAAATGTGAAGTGGCATCTTCATTTATAAAGTTATGGAGATGTAGATGTACTAAATACACACAGACGTTTGTATATCTATATATATATTCCTATAGAGTTAATATATAATATTCATATATCTATATGTAAGCCATATATATATACATTCAATAGTATTCAATAGATATAAAGTGCAAATAAGCTTTGTACATTGAGTACCAAAATCACAGGCTACATTCTAAAAAGAATGGAAAACCACCTTACCTGCAAATGAATTTACAGGGAATTTGATAGTTTACACAAGGTTTTCAAACTAATAGATTCTTTATGATAAATTCTCCTGTTATACCCATAGATCATTCTTCCTTTGCCAATCAGACAACATCTCTTATTTCAAGATTATCCAAATGGCCAGTGCATTTTGGCACTCTGGCTTCATTTCATTTTAACGCAAGAAGGTTTAATCTCTGTTTGAGTGGCCAAATTGAAGAGCTATTCATTCTGATGCCTCATTGAGTCTATTTATATACTAATACAATCAATCAATCAACTCTTTAGAACAAGGAAAGGAGCAAATGCATCCCCTGGGACCAGAGCTGTCCCACCCTAGAGCACTTCCTAAGGGAATACAATTGAATTAAGGGAAGCATCACTACTCAGCTCTAACCAGCTATTTCTGCCTCTGCAGAAACCCAGCAACCCTGAGGTGTTCACATCATCTGTTCCTCAGTCCTCTGCAAAGAGGGCTCTTTTCAGTGGAATCCTAATCAACCCAGAGTTTTACTCTGCCTAGTAAAATGACATCTGTGTGCTGTGATGGCACTTGGAAAAAGAAAAATGTGGAGGAAAAACAAGATTTGAAGAAGAGCTTGAGAAAATCCCCAGCAAATTTAGGGAAAAGAGTAAATTACTCCAGTTGCCTGTTCAGATCCCCTTGTCTGTTTGTTTATTTGGAATAATGGGCTAAAAATCAAATACCCTCTACTCTTACCTGGAAAATATTTCAAACGGGCTTCCCTCTGTTACATTACCATTACCACTCACTGTCTCAGAGCTGGTAACAATACAGTTATTGACATGTTTGTCAGAACCACTCAGATCTATGGGGAAAGAAACAGCAGCATCTAACATTCATGATTTAACTAACAGAAGCATTCTCAGTCTCAGATCCTAGAGATGTCACTTCCACAGAGCTCAGCTCTCTGCAGCACCTTTCCTTGCCAGCCTTCCAAGACTGCACAAATTGGGTCCATCACCACACCAGGTGCCTCCAACTCTTCTGAGATGAAGCAGTGGTGAAAGAGGTCCTTTCCCTTGGGAACACTTTTATATGGTTTTAAAAACACCTTTCACACAGCCTGAAAATGCTGCAGGTGAAAAGGGAGGAACTAAACCACAAAGGAACCCTAAAGCTTTGTAAAAATCCTTCTTAAATTACTACTGTTACCACACAAGCATGTTCAGAGTTGCATGCACTGGTCATGAACTGCAACCAGTCCTAAGCACCCTAACAGAGAAAATGTATGGCCAAGGATGGAAAAAAACCAATTTGACTCTTTTTGCACAGGCTAATTTCTAGTGGCTGTTACAGATGCAGACAGGAATCCATGAGTGCATATCCATTTCTTGAGAGAAAAACAAGGGTCACTTTTCCCTCTAAAGTTGCTGCCCAGTGTTCCATAGATGATATGTCTGGTGGATGCTACCTAGTGCAGTGTATTGCAGTTAGAATGTTCTCAGTATTTGTCCAGTTTTCCTTACAGAAATACTTTACCTGTTTTAACTGACAGCAATTTCTGTCACATTTAGCTGTGACATCAGTTTCAAAGCTGATTATCTAGAGAAGATAATCTCCTAAAAATGCAAGTTAGTATTCTGGCATTAAAGAAATTACAGTACAGACTGCATTAATATCACAGCCAGGGATAAACCAGACTCCTGCTCTGGTTGGCTTTTATGAAGAGTAGAATATAAGTAGGAGGCTACACCATGAACACAGAAGCAAAATCAAATTGAATTTACAAAGTAAGATAATAATAATGAACTTGACCAGACGCTGTGTTTTAATTACATAGAAAGAAATGTGTTTATTAGTTTACTCATTATTTGGGCTCTGAATGCAGCCTGGCTGTGAATGCAGCCATAAGTTAACTGAAAAATATAGGCATGAATTGACTATTTTCTATTTTTTTCCCCAAGTATTTTTAGCTGATGAATAGTTCAGGATAAGTAAACTACGCCAGATTCTGAAAATGGCTCATTCCTGGCAGCTATCAATAGCAGTATTCTAGACTCTACGGAGTGCTGAGAAGATCTTCACTGTCAATCTGACTATGTGGGGAGGAAAGGCATATCCAACATCTCTCCTGAGGCCCCTGGAAAATCAGGCAGACAAAAAAATCCAGATTTTTTATCTGAGTCACCAAATCAGTCCTGAATCTCCAAGGAGAGATGTCAAAAATGGTTTAGGTACCAAAACAAAAGAACCCCAAACAAACAATTTAGTTGGCAGGGAATGGGGAAGATAAAAAGCTCCCAAAGTTCAATCTCTGCAGATGGACCTTCTCTCCCTCTGCTCCAAGATCCACCATGTGAAGTCATAAAAGTCATAGGCAGCACCATATGATATTCCTAAACATTTTGCTCTCTGAAGCCCCATTGCTCTTTAGTTTGTAGCAAATGCCTGTGCTAAGGTTATCACCATCATTTTCAAGTTGAATGGAGAGATACGGTCCTGATGTCAATACTTCTAAAACAAAATTCCTAGCAAACACAGAGTGATACCTTATGGCTGTAGAGAAACAACAAACTTTTAAGACTATATTACATATTCAGTTGAAGAGTATTTTTCTGAAATATATTTACTATCTAGAAGAACAGTATTTCAAGATCCTTTTAAAATGCATAATTTTCCTTCTGAGTCTTTAAAATACTTTAAATAATAATAAAATAACATCAAATAAATAATCCCAAAATGCATCTCTGATGAGATGGGGAAAAGTAATGAATAATATCTCTCAGGGACACAAATAACATTCCAGACTGCTAAGCACTTATAACATTGAGGAATTATACCTGTTCTGCTAAAAAAAGCCACCAGCCTGGAAAACATGGTGATGGGTCTCAGGCAATTGAATTGTCCTGGGTAATTTATTCTGTATCTGCACAGCTGACTAACTGTGGCTGATACACATTTGAAAGCCAGAGAAATGGAGATTACTGCCCTGTAATGTCATATAAAAATCCACAACAAGACTTCACTATTTTAAAGTTAGCTGTGCAAGTCTCAACTGCTGGTAAAACTGTTCTGGCAAAGGAGAATGAAGCACTGGTACTTACTGAGGAATCAGGAGGATGCTCCTCCTCTTGTGAAAAAGAGCTATTGAAAGCTCTGAAGGTCTCGCTGTTCTGTTTGTGCTTTTCTATAGTGGCTTGAATGACCTGAGACAAAGATGTCAACAAAGATAAGAAGCATCACAAAAAAAAATTTCTCTCATAGGAAGATTGGCAGGATTACCATTTGGTGAAAAACGCTTACAGTTGTATAAATGAAAGGGAAACTTAAAAACCTTAAGTGGTGGTGTTAAACCCATTATTGTTTCAGTTAAAAACTAAGACTGCCATCAGACAGTATTTCTACAAGTCAAACTGGAAGAATATACAAGGTCTGGTGCCTCAGTCTCTTCTCATAGTGGGCTTGAGGAATGCAGGGAAGGGGAGCCCAGCTGGAGCCCCCAGATACTTTCTGGGGCCAGCTGGTCAGCACCAGGACCCTGACTGAGCTCCACACTTCTCCAAGAGCAACTCCACCACACTGGCCCACCCAGCTTCCCTGCACAGCCACATTAATTCAGAACCCCAAAAAGATGATTTCAACTGCTGCCTGCATGGTGATTGCCCTCCTTATCATTGGTATTTTGTACTAACATGAATCCATTCCCTCTTCTCCTCTTCTGTCCTGTTAAAACAAAAGCAAAATAGAGAAAACATCATTGTTCTACTTAAAATATTTTCAGTAAATTCAATTCACAGCTTCACACCTTTATATCCATTAGATTTTTAGCTTTGCTACCCACTATTTAAAAAACATTATTGATAATTATTCACAGCAATTATTACCAAATGCCAAAAATACTTGAATTGTTGACACAGTGGACCCTACAGGCACTACTATAAACACTGCATTCAATAAAGGCAATCAACACACTTTGACTTAGGACCAACATTCTCTTACATATCTGTTACCCACCTCTGCTGCTCACCTCGTAATTTAAAGCTCTGTCACACTAGCACAGCCTGTAGATCAATTTCACAAACCTTCAAAGACAGAACAAGTATCATACCTGGCTTGCAGTTCCAATGATCTCTTTTTTCCTGTTATGGAAAATGTATGAGCCACATTTTGCTTGGCAATTTCTTGGACCTGGAAAAAGCACATCAACTTTTTCACTCATTGAACTTGTCTTTCCAACATTTTTAATGACTTAGAAATACACTCATTCTTAGAAATGCTTAGTCAAAAAGCTCATTTGGAATAAAGTACAGAAGTAGAAAAAATAAGGGACTGTTTCCATAGTTACCTGTCTTGTTGCACAACTCGTGTGTCTGTATCACCAATCAGACACCTATGGCAGCAGGGGTAGGTGTGCCAGCCAGGGAACAAGGTAAGGCTCTCAATCCAAACATGTCACACAGTCACCATTACTATGCTCCCTTTTTGAATGATTCTTATAAAAATTTCATAAGCCCAGCTGTCAGAGACTGAAATGCTATAATTTATGTCTTAAACATCTTCATGAAAGACTTTGGCTTGTTATAGCAAAACCGTACAACAGATACAGAGAAAACCACCAAAACCCTGAATGGAGCCCTACACTGCTCATTGATGAAGATAAAGTGACTTAGGGGAGAAGAACACATTCAGAGAGAGATCAAGCTTAGCACCCTCAGGGTGGAAGTCACAGCCCCAGGGCTATCAGCTGCCAGGCTGGAACAGACCCTCACACCAAAGGCTGGGGGGAGGAGAGGTTTTGGGTGTGTGATGAAAAAGCCTCTGATTCGAGCAGTGAACACCCATTTGCCGTTGTGCAGAGGAGCTCAGCTCTGGGCTCCTTCACCCTGGCAGAAACCGCATCCACATGAAGGACAGCAGAGTCATGGTCCATCAAACACCCCCCTACAAAGGGGTCCCCAGACCCTGCACCAGAGATGATGCAACAGATCCATAGTGTTGCAAAGGACAGTGTCAAATGTGCCCTACTCAGGGGAGGCTTGTGGGTGCTCCCACCTGGCCCAAACCATTTTCTCAATCCGCTGGATTCCACACTTTCCAGCAACAGGTGGCAGTGGGACCCTCACCACCAAGAATAACAGATGGAGGGGAGCAATGAGATGTTGTTGGGACCCTGGGAAGGGTGATATGTTTCCACCCAACTGGTGTCACCTTCTCCCTTTCTCCCCACCCATACACACCTCTTTTTCTATTTCTGTCCTTATTTTCTCTTTCTTTCTCTTTGCCTCTTTTACTATTAAATAAAATATATCATTTTTTTTTGGCACCAACATCGAACTTCATTTGGTTTTAATCAAGTTTTGGGGTACATTTCAAACCTTTCTGGGTTTGATCCATTTTATTCGCTGAGGCTTAGTTTCCTATGGTCTTCTGTGTTAAACTGGTTCATAACACCAACCAACCAAAAAAACCCAAAAAGAGATAAAATCATAGAATCACTAACGTTGGAAAAGAACTTTAAGATCCTCAAGTCCAACCATCAAAACAGCACCATCACATTCACCACAAAACCATGTTCTCAAGTGCCACATCCACATGGTTTTTGAACACTTCCAGAGATGGTGACTCCAATTCTTCCCTGCGCAATCTGTGCCAGGGCTGGAAATCCATTTCAGTGAAGAAATATTCCCTAATATCCAACCTAAGCCTCCCCCAGTGCAACTTGAGGCCGCTTCCTCTCATCCTGTCACACGTTAGAAGAGGCCAACCCTCACCTGGCTACACCCATCTTTCAGGCAGTTGTAGAAAGCGAGAAGGTCTTGCTCCTTATCTCCAGAATCCCCCCAGCTCCCTCATCAGATTTGTGCTCCAGACCCTTCCCCAGCTCTGTTGTGCTTCTCTGGACACACTCCAGCACCTTCAGATCTTTCTTGTCATGGAAAAACTGCATTGATCCAAAGTGATCCAAACCTGGGTTTTAGAATTCTACTATATTTTTACATTCATACAATGTTATGTATTTAGATTCAGCAGGGATCCAAAGCTATCAACAACATTAAAAAAAGAGGAAAGAAGAGATGCAAACCTGCAGTCCTGCAATGTCCATCTTCTCTCGGACACTGAACTTCTGGCCGATCAGCCTCAGTTTTGGCACACAGTACAGCACCATGCTGTTAAACTGCAATGAGGCAAGAGTTTAACTTAGGCAGTTACATGCTAGACACAGCTTGCTCTGTGAAGGTTTAGGGCTCTGGTGTGTTTTACTCTAAGATACAGCTCTCAAGAAGAGATTTAAGGTGAAAGTGAGACTGATGGATCATTACTGAGAGAAGTGGGCACACAGAAACACCTCAGCCAGTCACTTCTCCCTTCTGCATCTCCCTCTGAATTGAACTGCCTTGAAAGCACGAGAGCTCTTCTCCCAGTGCCAGTGAGAGCTGGCCATCTCCTGCAGCAAGGTGGTTTGGCTGGAAACCATCTCCTGTGGCACTCTGCAAAAACTCAGCCTCTGAGGAGGGAGATGGAAAAGACCCCTTTGGGCCAGTAAAGGCACAGTATGAAAGAAAGAAGGAAATCCTTGAGGAAAAAACTACAAGAGAAAACTGCTGCTCAGAAGGAGTAGCTGGGCTCAGCTAGTGAATGCTTTTTGTCTTTAAGCTTGGGAAGATGTAAACATACCACAGAATCATAGATTCAAAGGATGGCTTGGGTTGGAAGGACCTTAAAGCCTATCTCCTTCCACTGCCTGCCATGAGTAGGGACCCCTTCCACTAGACCAGTGTGCTCTAAGGCCCATCCAACCTGAGCACAGCCCTGAAAATAATAGAGCAGCTGAAACACTCACCAGGAATAAATACCTATCCTGTGCTGTGCCATTCTTTGCTGAAAGTTTCTGAATTTGTCCTTCTTTAATGAGCTCGTTGGCTGGGTTAACAATATCCTCTTCACCACCCAGGCGCTCATAGACTTCCAAAAGCTTGTGCATCTTTTCCTGCCAGTACAAATATCCAGCAATTTAAATTTTAAAAAAAATTATTCCATGTGGTCTATTTTCCAGTCTTTAATTTCTGTGGTAAATGCATGTAAGTTGAAAGAAAACAGTCTTATAGCTTTGCATTTATATTAAAATGCATTGCATATTGTTCAGTGCTATTCCCCACTCTGGATTTGTCATACTGGATTAGTTATACTTGGATTGTGCCATTTAATGACACTTTGAGATAAATTTATTTGATACTTTTAGACTATTACTATTCAACGCTAAATATGTATTATAGAATCATAAAGGTTGAAATAAATCTCTAAGATCATCAAGTCCAAATATTAATCTTTGGAACTTTAGAAGCAATGTCCAATAAAATCACTGGCCAAGCTGGAGACTTGTACGCTACCAAATAATGGAAGCATGATTTATTTCTTCTACTGCACTACAACAAGAGTAAGCAGCCAACAATTAATTCAACCCTCCACTAACTTTTGGGGATATTGCTACAACATTCACTTTCCTTTCAGTCTGGCTTGGACCTCAAGCAGCAAAATTATTATAACAGCCTTTTCCAATGTGTTCTCGTGTACTAACAGAAAAAGCAACCAACACAGAAACCAATGAGCCAACAAGTTGTTTCATATTCCTGATATCAGCAGAGATACTGTACAAAGCTCCAAGGAGTTAAGAGGCCCAAAACCAGAAAAATTTCCACCAAAATATATCCTTATCAAGAGAACATGCCAGACTCAAATAGAAACAGATGGTTTCCTAACTATGCTTTCAGACATACTGGAAATACACAGACATCAGCTGGCTACTTCCCCATAGCAGCCACAGGAAACATGGTCTCATGGTGTCCCCACCAGCTGAGAGAGGAAGTAATGGTCTGATAGGGAAGTGAACATAAACCCTGGACCTAAGCCAGATACACAGCATTTCAGGTCTGTTTGATACAAAATATCCTGAGACACCTGGGTGCACCAAAGGGATAACATCTGCAGCTGTAAAGCCCATTTACTTTAACAGTAATGCACTAGTTCTTCTATATGTAAAACCTGTGCTAATGTCCAAAATCTCCACATCTGACTGCCCAGCTTTTGAAGCACAGCTTTCTGAAGCTACTGATGCATGCAAAATGCACATTCTGTGCACTTAAGATGGGCCAAAATCAAATCAAAGCAACCTTCATTCTGTTGAAGAACTGTAGGACTAAAAAAACAGTGTGAAAATCTGCAAGGACACCTTGTGAATGGGTCTAATTGGAATACTTCCAACACTTTTCAAGGACAAGCAAATAACGAGTTTTATGAAGACTTCCTTTTTCAACTCATTGGGTCCTTAAGAATGAGGGAGGTGGAATTAAAGCCGAACGAGCCACAGAAAACTGCATTTGCAATAAAAAGGACTCAGACATCCAACACATGTTTAAAGCCTGAGTGACAGGCAGATTTTCCTCTCCAGTTACCGTGCTGAGCCTGTTGCAATGGAAGGCCCTCAGTTGAGCCAAGTGTTTCAGTCAGATCAACAATTCCGTTCTGGAATTGCTACTCACCATCTTCCGGATGGCTGCATTGGAATGGTTTGCTGCTGTCGATATCAGCTCCAGTGACTCTGCAATAAAGGTACCAACAGTTATGCATTCTCTAGATTATATCTTTCAATAGCTCCTTGGGAGACAGGTTCACCTCTCTGAGTAGTTCTTCCTTCAAAATTGATGATACATAAGCAATTATGGACACAATCAGTTCTGCCTGTTCAACTGATCTATGTTTCATCTTTCTCTCCTAAAAATCTAGATGAGCCAAAGCACACAGTGACAAAGAACCCTCACTTTCTAGGAATCACCTATTAAAAGTCAAGTTTCACTTAAGTCTTCTCAAGCATATTTTTAAGATTGTTTTCCTAACACAGAGATTGCCGGCTTATGGTGATATGGACACTCTTTTGGTTGAGAGCAAAAACTCCTTGTAATCAAGAGAAGACCACTTCTCCTGTTTCACCATATAAACAGAGTCTATCTGGTTTTCTTGGCAAGAAATACACATTTAAATTCAATACAAATTTAAAACCATTCTTCCTTTTTTCCTCTGGCTACTGCAAGGATGTCTTCCTGTCTTTGTCCTTAGCCACACAATGGAGTAAACAAAAAAGTTAGATGTTCTACTACAGCAAACTTCAACATATTGTCACTGCTTGTTTGCCAAAGCTGCTTTCATTCCTAGAGCAGGTATTCCAACCCTTTTCTTCTCAACTCCAAAAGCATTCAAAATCCCTTTGTTTGGTAATAATTTGACTAATTCAAATCTCCATTTCTACCATAGTCCTGGCTGTAAGTATCTGAATACACAAAGAAAAACTGCCCAGGATTTCATTGTGCTTTTAGACAGAGAGGCGTTTACATGTACTTTCAGCATCTTTCCTGTCTGGAGATTCTTCTGGAAGTTTCTTTAAGTAGTCCTTCAGGAGAAGCTCATAACGAGGAATCCTTTGCACTGGTTCAAGCATATGATGCTGCAAAGTCAGGTTTCCACACACCTCCTGTTTCTGAAATGGAGAAAAAGCAAGAACAAGAGGGTTTGATTTTTTTCTGCCTTTGGTGCATAACAGAATGAAAAATGACCATGCACATACAGATAGAAGAGTGTACAGAAGCTTCTCAAGCCATCATAGGTCGACAAACTCATTAGGTTGGAAAAGACTGAGATGATTGAGTCCAAACATAAACAAAACACTGCCAAGGCCAACTAAATCAAGTCCCCAAGTGCCACATCTGCATGTCTTTTAAATCCCTCCAGGGATAGTGTTTCCATCACTGCTCTGGGCAGCCTGAGCCAGGGCTGGACAACCCTCTCCATCAAGAAATATTTCCTAATATCCAATCTAAACTTTCCCCTGGCACAGTTTGAGGTCATTTCCTCTTGTCCTGTCTCGTGTTCACTGGAAGCAGAGCCCAGCCTACCCCACATCTGCCCCCTCCTGTCAGGGAGTTGTGCAGAGCCAAGAGGTCCCCCCTGGGCCTCCTCTTCTCCAGGCTGAGCCCCTTCCCAGCTCCGTTCCCTTCTCTGGACACACTCCAGCCCCTGCAGCTCTTTCTTGTTGCGAGGGGCTCTAAACTGACCCCAGCATGTCCAGCACAGGGGTGGGCACTGCCCTGGCCCTGCTGCCACACCAGGGCTGAGCAGCCCAAGGTGCCCTGGTCCTTCTTACCCACCTGGGCTCCTGTTCAGCCACTGCCACAGCACCCCAGGGCCTTTCCAGCCCCTCTGGCTCAGCCTGGAGCTGCAGGGGTGTTGTGACCCAACGACAGGACCTGGCACTTGGCCTTGTTCAGCCTCAATCACTGGCCTACGATCAAGCCTCTCCAGAGCTGGGCTGCCTGATAGCAGATATCAGAGCTGGCAGCTTTTATGTGAATCTTCATCCTATGTCAGGCATTTTCTGCTGATATGCAACTATCTTCTTTCAGAAGGCTCAGAAAAGCTTTTCCCATCCATGGCCCTGTGCAGCATTGTTCTCCCAACTTCATGAAATCACAATGCCCCCAGGAATGTACTGCTTGCCAGAGCTCACTGTATGAGCAGTAGGCACGCTGCTCACACATCAGCTTTGAGAGGCAGAGCTCTCTCAAATTCTGCTCCTTTTTCACTTGGCCAAGAAGGGGAGGAGATTTGAGTCTGGTTACACAAATCATCCAATAAGGCACCAAAGTGCTCTGCTTACAATGGCACTGAGTATTGCAGTGTACTTGTTTTCACAGCATCTCGTGAAGCAAAAGAATATTTTCGTTTAAAAGAGGAGAGATGAGAATCTCAGTAAGAACCAGTAACTTGCTTTAACGCACACAGGAAGTTTCTGCTAGTGATGTAATCTGACTCCACAGCAGCATGTTAACCACAGACACACACAAGCTCTTCTACACAGCATTATTTTTACATCAGCCCACTAATGTGGTCTGCTCTCATGTAAACAACCTCTCTATAACCATGTTAATTTCACTGTGTATTTCTCAGAGAAAGGAACTTCTTTCAAGTATCTGCAATTTCCTCATAAATATTCCAGCCCACACCACACTGCTGACTCGTTCCATTCTCACAGCGAAACTGGAGATAATGGGATGAATGTCTGAGAGAAAAATATTAGCTATCTTTCCAGAAATTCAAAGGACTAAATTTGATAAGTCACAGTCATCAACTTATTAGTAACATTTGATTTTTGTTTTCTGCTTTCCCTAATTTACCATAATTAGTAACAGTGAATGCCTAATGCTGTATATTATATACACACTATTCCATTAGCAGCTTAGGTAGACAGTGCATCCCTGAAGGATCACAACATACTTCAACTGGTATGTTGAAAACTATCAGTGGCTTCTGAGAGATATGTCAAATAAGTGGACTAAGAATTCTGGGTCCAATCTCTGCCTCCTGCAGCTATAATCACCGAGCAACAGAGCAAAAGGTGCTGTGTAAGTGTGACTAAATAACCTACAGTGCAATTCTGTCATCAGCAGGCTTCCGAGTCACATCTCCTGCCTGCATCACCAGTGCCCACACTGCCTGGCAAGAGTTCTGCTCAAGCAACAGCAGAGCTGCCCATGGTCTGGAACCGGTGTAGACCAACAGGTGACATACATCATTTATGTTGGAAGCTCCTTGGTGGGAAGAGACAGGTGACTTTTAGAGAAGGGAGCTGCCTGTGCTGTAGGGAAAACAGTCCCAAATGGATTACCCTGCAGAAAGTCATGGCTTGCCACTGGCTGAGGACAGCAAAACACAGGTGTGTGTGCCCTTAGTGGGAGCAGGACAGGTACAGGCAAAAAAAGGGTAAGAAAAGTCCTGTGGAGCAGTAGCGTGGCAGGAAAGGACCTCCCCCAGTCCTTGTTTCTCCAAACTTCTGTCTTGAGTCTCTGACACAGCCCTAAACCTCCACTCAGGGCCTCTCCTCTCCCAGCTTGCCAGGGGATTACTTGATTCCCAACAGCTGGCCCAGCCACAGTCCTCCCATTTAGGGCAGGCAGCTGTACTCCCTGTTCAGCTTAACCCACTCCTTGCCAGCCCTTCCTTCTCAAAGGATGGTATCTGCCTTCCAAAGACTGGCAGAGAGATGCTTATGAGCATCCTGGAGCCTGCATCCATTCAGCTGGCCCAGGGGATGAGCAGGATAGAACAGTTTTATGGATACACCAGCATAACCAGAGCTCTTCCCCTCTCCCTGCACAGCTTTTTGTGCAATTATGAGAAAACACATGAAAATCCATCTCAAGCATCCTCCTGTGGAACTGTGATCCTGAGAGCAGATTGCCACTTTGGAAGCCTCAGAAAAACCAGACAAACAGCAGATGCTGTCAGTGACATATCCAAACCTAAGCACACCCACCTCTTTTTAATAAAAAAAAAAATAAAGTTAGAAATGAGGAAGACAAATTCAAAAGAGTCAGAATTACTGGTCCAAGGGTGAAGTTTCATTCTGTGATCTGATACTCTTCTTAAACCACAGAATCATGGAATGGTTTGGGTTAGAAGGGACCTTGAAGACCATCCAGCCTAACCCTCATCCACCGTCCCAAGTTGCTCCAAGCCCCATCCAGCGTGGTCTTGAACATTTCCACGGATCCAGGGGCAGCCACAGCTTCTCTGGGCAGCCTGGGTCAGGGCCTCACCACCTTCACATGGAAGAATTACTTTCCAATATCCCATCTAACCCTGGCCTCTGTAAGTTTAAAGCCATATTAAAAAAAAAAAAAAAAGTTTGAGTGGAATAAAAGCTGTGTGTGAAATCTGTATACCAGAAAAACAGAAAAGAGAAGAAAGGAATGCCACTAAAATTGTGTAATTTTAGTATGTCTTATTATCTTGACAATGTGTGTCATTAACTGGGAAACAAATAAATACACTGAACCGAGGATCTCTCACTCCTGGTTCTAGCCAGCAGAGAGTTAATTTTTTCCAGTAGCCAGGAGGGGTGTGGCCAGGGCCTCAGTGTTAGTGGATAACACCTCAGGTCATTGCTAGGCTGGAGGAGAGGGTCTTATTTCAGAGAAGGTTCCTTATGGTGGAGCAAGTGTGGCAAATGGAGCAGTTTGGGTGATGCTGGTCCTGACTGGAGGAAGTGGTTTCGGTGAGTAGCTGCAGCTGGATTGAACTCTGCACTCTCTTTTTGGTACACCTTTATTTTTATTATTAATATTGTGGCTCTTACTGTTTGTTTTCTTATCTCATTGTTTCCAGTAAATTGTTCTTACCTCAACCCATGATTTTTGCTTTTTGGGCCTCCAGCTCTCCTCTTCAGGTACTCCAGGAGGAGGGCAAAAGGGCAGTGGGCGAAAACAAAGGAGTAGTAGTGTGGTTTTGGAGTCTCTAAACTGGGGAGTACCATTCCTAAACCATTACAATCTCCAAGTCCTATTATGTGAATTCAAAACATACCTGTATATTCTGAACAACATCTTTGAAGGGAGAGGACCGCTGCATACATGTGTTCACTATGTCCATTGCCCTGTCAAAGTTCTTTACATACTCTCCATACATCTTCAGAAAAGGAGCAAGTTTCTGCAGGATATCTCCTAGCCGTGGGTTGACGCTCCTGTGGTAAAGAGACAGGTAACTACTGAAATCTCTGGAAATGAATGGTATCTTCAGAGAGAAAACACAGCTGTGAGATTTCCACAGTTGTCTCCCACATGCAGAAGCATTTACACATATGTGCAATCAAGACAGGCTAAGTTCAGTTTATGGTAATCTATGCAATATCCTAGATGAAACTTCAAACGTGAATCCTGTTGTAAAAGGGATGACATTTCCCCCCTCACTGTCTTAAGTGAAAAGCAGACTGACTATACATCATTAAAAGAACTTCTGCCCAACACAAAATCTTGTGGGAAACTTTTACTTATCAAAAATAATCTCTTCCACCACAGCCAAACAACTGATTTGGTTTTAATGCAAAGAGATGGCTCAGTTCAACAGGGTAATCCTTAGGGGCTAGTAACCCCAGGCTGGAGCAGCAGTAACCACAAATCTCTCTCTGCCAAAGACATGGCCAGGCAGAGAGCCAGCCATTCTCCCCCAGTCTGCTTGCAAGCCCCTCTTTAGCCAGTTGACAAGCTTCTATCCTCTTCTGACTCCCAGACTCTGCAGTTTTCCTCTCCTCTCTTACAGCTGTCCCTGCAAGTGCAAGTCAGGCACAGAGGTGCTGAGACTCATTTACCCCTTCTGCTCACTGACAAACGTGTGAAGACTGGACTCAGCCAAGAGAGAGGCAAACCCTGGTCTTGTCTTGATCAATCAGGGGACCTGCAAAGGTCAGCACTATCTGCACCTGCCGCTGCAGGACACCATGCAGCCAATGTGTCCCCTCAAATTGGATCTCCTAGACCTGACTTACAATTAACCTTTCGACCTATCACTGTGTTTCTGCCTTATCTACAGCTTACAGCATCACAGAATCATTAGGGTTGGAAAAGACCTCTAAAACCAATAAATTCTACCTTCAACCTCATTAAAGCAGCCAAATTTTAAATGGTATTCGAAAATATTTATTTCAGCTATGGGGCCAAAAGAAGCAATTTTATTCCTTCCTAGTACTGTAATTTCATAGTACTGCAATAATAGGAGAGTAGGAATGCAGTAAGGAAAACAGCTCTGGTAATACTTCCAACTAAAAAAACGCTCACAATGTATTCTGGAAGTTTTGAGTGCTCAGGCCTACTCCTTAAGTCAGAAATGTTTGAGAGACTTCAGAAATGTTTGAGAGTTAGTAAATAACTAAAGTAACTGCTGCATTAAACAATAAAAAATTTGGAATTAGACTAGGCCTCATGGTTGCTACAGTTTCTTGAAAATGTATTTTTTTAATAATTGTAATGAGAGCTACCTACCATTCTTGTGTAATTCTCGTTTTGAGCTCAGGAAGAAGAAATTGTCCATGGAAACAATAGATGGAAGAAATATTTGAGAAGATGCCTGTTATCACTTCAGATGAGATCCCTGCTTCGGACAATTTAGTGCAAAAAACCTGCAGAAGGCAACAAGACAGTACCAACATTTTTAACTAAAAACAGTCCTAGACATGCTGATTTTAGATTGCAATTTTGCAAAGCTGACTGCTTAGAACAGAGCTGCAGATTTTCACCCCTGGTAGCCACTCCTTGGTGTCTTAAGGAGTTTCACAAAATTTAAGCGGACTGTCACCCAGAGTTAGATATATCACTATAGGCCATTGAAAAAACTAGGAAATCAGAGCTATAATTCAAAAAAGATTGAAATTACTGGGAAGATCAGACATCTCATATTTGAGTGCAAGCTGCAAACATCATTCAGTCCCTGAAAAGCATTTACTGCTATTTACACAAAGCAAAATAAATAATGTGATTGGGTTTTTCTCAGTAGGAAAAATTACACTATACTGAACAAAAGGAAAAGACATTCCCTAGATTTTTATGGTCCAGAAACAGTTTCTGTTAATCTAATACACGCACTGTAAGTCTTTCATACAGCTCCAAGAGTTGTAGGGTGAAGCATTCTCCAAGTTACAGCTTCTAACAGTATTTCTTGCCAGGTGACAGTTTTCTATTTTTTTTTCTTCTACTAATTTTTAAAAAGCACTTTGCTAGAAATGTGTCTCATCCTCATCTTTATTTCTTTCCTGCATATTCATGTCTTTTTTCTTTGAGGTAATTATAGAAATGTCTGAATTGTGTAGCGCCAACTCAAAGTCTATGGGGAAGAAAGTTCAGACTCATCACACCAGTTTCACTTCATCGCCATGTGTAAACATGATGGGCAACAATTACAAAACAGACTGGTAAAAAAATAGCTTGCTGTAGGCTCAGGGCTAACACATGTGGCCTGATTTTAGTAAAACTTCAACTTCTTGCACATCAAAGAGCAATCACAGATTTCATCATTTCTTAGTGCTTTCATTATCCCTATGATTTCCTCTCCCCATACACCCAGGGAGGAACCAAATGCTGGCAGTGTCTGTGTCTTGGACTGCTGCTTTCCCATTTCCCTTTCTGCCATCCCAATCCTCTGTTTCCTTTCAGAGAACCCTCTTGCTCAAAGCTCACATCTGGGATCCACGGCACACAGCCTGACAGGCAAACTCCATCTTCCACCTACACACAGCATTTGTACTGAGCTACAGCTTAGGCAGTGGACAGGAGACATCATTGCTGCTCACTGGAAAGAAAGGAGAATTAATTCAAAATGGAATTACCTGGTCCAAGAGATGGAGTCTTTTAACATACGCTTCTTCTGTGTGGAGCAGCTCACTGGCGATGTTGAATAGCTTTTGGGGCTCTGTACACTGAAAAAAAAAAAAGTTACAAATGACACAATCCATCTGCACCTCCACACCTGAGTTCCACTAACTGTTCTGTTTTTCATTTTGTCAGTGGCCTAAATCCTACCAGCAGAGGAGCCTGGAGTGAAAGAGGTTAACACATTCCAGAATCTGTCCCACACCTCTCAAAAGATCACTTTGCTCCAGAGATATTTTAATGCTGTTTTCTGAAAGAGCAATTAGTAATGCAATCAGTGTCTGGTCAGGACATCACTTGAGTTCATTATGGCTTTATAAAAAGAACCAGAAACATCCTCTAAACCTGGAAATAAGTCAAGTTAATTTGAAAAACAAGGCAATAGATTGTAAATAAACTGTTCTCATTTTTGGATTCAGGTCCTGTAACTAAAATGAAAACTAGAAATCAGGCTGTTTGGCCAGATTTCTACTCTTGCTAGCACAGCATTACTCTCTATGGCATATTTCTAAGATTTTTGTGCAGCTTTATACACAGGCCAGTTCCCTGGAAAGAATTTTCATCAAGGTAACCAAAATTACTCAGTGAAGCCTTTCATTAAGCTCATTAAAAAAAAAAAAAAAAAAGAGAGAGAGAGAGAAAGGACTACTTAAAAACTCTAAATACAGTTTTAAAGCACTGACTTTAGGCACTGTTCAGCCAAAAGCTACATAGACCCTTCACTCACTAAGTGCTTAATAATACCTGAATTACTAGAATACAGGTTTGAGCTTCCCAACAATCTTTTAAAGTGTTAGACTTTAAACACCATGCCTACATATAATGAAACCAGTCCAAAACAGTGTTGGCTGGCTTGTGTTCAGGAATACAAGCATGGAAAATGGGCAGCAAGGATGATCAAATGTAAAGAAACTATACTGGGCTGGATCCAGAAAAAGACAAATGCACTGAAGGTAAGAGGTGCATTAACGATTCCTGGAATGCAGAACATTGACTGGGTGCAATTAATCACTATTTCTATGGGAAAACTGAAGGGCATCAAATAAAATCACCAAGGCGCTGCTTCCTCAAGAAACACAACATTGCTGGCAGTAACCTTCACACAGGTTCACAAAAGAACCAGAAATATCCACAGAGGAAAAATTTAGCTGAAGTCTATTAAACACATGGGGCAATTGCCAGCTGAGGAAGTACCTGGGCCTGTCACCAGCAGCAGTGCTCAATCCCAAATGTCTGTCTCTGGTGCTCACATTTGGGGCAAGGACTTGTAGATATAACCCTGTTAGCCACCATCAGATTGTTGGAAAACATCAAATAAAGGCTCTCTTTAAGCTTCTTCAACATTACCGTGTTTTGTTTCCAAATAAAGTTGATGAGAAAAATTTAAACACCAGCCCTCCACAGAGAGTCAGACAAACTGCAGTACAACTGAAAACTTCAAAGGTTTTTCACAGAAAGCCGTGAACTCCAACAAATCAGACCCACAATTATCCTACATGGAATGAGGTGCCACTTGGCATGAAGTACTCATAGCTCCATGATGTAAGTATTATTGAAGGAAAGTAAATAGCTCTCCTTTATTTGAAGCAACATCAGACTTCCTTTGAAGCAATCCAGGCACAAATTTGAATTATTTCCAGGCACAAATCTGAAGATAGGCAAACATGAAGTTCTGACAGGGACTGTCTCTGCCCCGCCTCTCAAATTATTCCAAGTCAAATACTCTTTTACACTCTTTCAACATGATACACAACATCGTGCTCTGTTCACTATATATTAATATTTAGGGGAAGTGAAAAACAAAACAAACCACAGCACAATAAGTCTTGAAATTGTTCCAAGCAAATACATCTTATTACCGTTTACACTGCAGTGCTCTGCTGGCCCAGTCAAACCCAGTAACTACAAGGATCTCTCACTGAGAAAGATATTATCTACTGGTGTTGCTGTGTACAAAGAAGTGCTCAAATGAAAGGCACTGATGTAACCAGCTGGCATGCCAGTCACCAAGAGCATCCTTTGAGTTGTTTGAATTCAGAACTGGAAAAATACTTATTGCCAACCAAATACATTTGTACTCAGAAGTAAATCTTTACATAGCACAGGTAGCTTTTTAGGTCCTGACCTTCACCATCTGCAATTCAGCTTATATTTCAAGAAAACTTGCTGACATCTGCTTAAATACCAAACAAGGGCTTAACAGAATCAGCTTCAGCTCAGTTTTACAGTGACACTATCTTCAGTTGCTCTCTCTGCTAAGCAGAGCGGTAGGCACATTTTTCAGACAAATTTGCAACTTATTTGGCTTTCAATGGGCATAACATTTTAAATGAAACTATAGATTAATTAAACGTGAGGCAGTCCCATTCTTCTAACTTCATTTTGTGCCATGGTGGGATAGCTTTAACAAAGCCCAAGCCATCATTCAGTTCACTAGGAACAAGATATTTCATGGTCCATGCTTCTAAAGGAAAAGTAAAACAAACCTGCAAATTGAGATTATGCTCTGCTTTGTGCAGTGTTCTTGCTGAGTGACTGCTTGCCACAAGCCACAGCATCTCCTGTGCAGTCATTCCCTAGAGCCTTACACCTACTGCAAAGTCTGGACAGAACAGTGTGGCTGGTGGGGTGACAAGAAAGGTGAGAAAATTGAAGAGGGAGGTGTTGACTTCACAACACAAAATTCACTCCAGTGCTCAATGCAGCATGATGCACTTTCACTTTGTGAACGATTCAAAAATTCATTTTCAGCTGCAACTGTCCATAAAACATTTTAAAATATGTTTTTGTTTTTTTTTTTTTTTTAAAGAAACAACAGCCTGAAATCAAACAGAACCAGTTTCTAATGAAGGTCAGATTCACGCTTGGAATGCATTTGCACCTTAAATCTTGCAGCAACCATTTTTCATACAATGGGTGTGCACAACTACATTCAGTCAGCATCAGTCTCACATAGGGCACATAGGGCTTTCAGCAAATCTTGCAAGAGAGCTGCTGGGATAGAGCTTAGGTTAAAATCATACATAGTTATGTGTCAAAACTCCATCAGTCAGCCCTGCAAAGACCACAAAAAGTCACAGAAATATTACAGGCCACTTCCTACTCAACAATCCTGAAAATAATACAGAAAAGTTATCCTATGCTTGGTTGTCTTTGTTGCACTGAAATCACATTTTCCTTAAGATACTTAAATCATGATGATGTCATATCTGAATTTTCTCAACCAACATTATGACTAAAACATTGACATACAGACTTTTTTTCTGAATATACATGGAGATAATCTCACCCAAAGGTCATAGTAGCAGGATTGCAGGCCAAATTTTACAACACACACTAGACAATGAAATCAGATGTGAAACCCCAGCCATGTACAGGCAGAATGGAAGCATGTGTCCATGAATGCATGAGACCCAAGGGGGGCTCCATTGTTACTATTTACACATCAGGAAGCATGACAGAGGGAGAAAAACATTCTTTGGTGATTACAAATGAGCATATATGACTCTTAGTGAAAAAATGCCTAAAAAAACCCCTCTGAAGCACAGATACCCCTCCCAGAAGCATTACTCAGGCTCTCAGGCAGTCAGCAGAAGTCTTGGGACTTTGGAGCACGACAGTCCCTCAGTTTCACTTTTATGTCACTTCTTTTCTCTGCAGCCATCTTTGTAACCATCCAGATTAATGTGCATCACTTCCTGGAGCTCCTGACATTTTCTGAGACATTATCAAAACTAATAACCTCCCTTGGTTAATTTTTATTTTGATAAAAGATAACTGGAAATCTCAGTAAATCACTCCTGAGATTTAAAAACATAATTTGTGCTAATACTGAGCCCTGTTAGACTGCTGCAGACTCTTAACGAATCACTGCATAGCTAAGCCTATAAATACAACATTACCACTCACATATCAGGTAAAGTTACCTTCCCCAAGCATGAGCTGTGTGCAAGCTTGGGTGGAAGATAGAGGGATCACTGAAGTAGAAAAGAATAGTTATTCATGATCTTCACTTACACTGATATCCTAGGAGTTACTGATCCATCATTAAATCACTCTGCAGCTGTACTTACGATTCTCCTCCAACTATAACAGCTTTCACATTTAATGAGACCACTGGCTACCTTCATGGTGCAGCTGCAAAGCCTGGTACTGGGGGTAGGAGGGGAAATGCAAGAAAAATACTTTCCCAACCTAAGGCTTTTTGAAGGAGATGAGGGCTCCCCAGCTCCCAGGCCAGCAGCTGATGCCAATTGAATTATCTCTTCTTTCAAGCAGGAAAATTATCAGTTTTGTCAAGGATGATGTGAAATTCCAGCCTAAGAATAACCATGGAACAAGTCAACTTTGAATCACATTAGCTCTCCTTGCTGGAAGCTGTGGCCCTTCACTCTAACCCTGAGTCCACAGTGCCCCAAATCTGCAACAGAATCAAAGAGGGGAGCAGGAAATGACCTCAAGTTATGCCAGGGGAGGTTTAGATTGGATATTAGGAAAAAATTTCTTCACTGAAGGGTCAGGCATTGGAAGAAGCTACCCAGGGAAGTGGTGGAGTCACCAGCCATGCAAGTGTTCAACAGACAGGTAAATGTGGCTCTTCGGGACACAGTGGACCAGTCAGTGTTTGAGTAGTGGTTGGACTCAATGATCTTCAAAGTCTTTTCCAACCATAATGATTCTATGATTTTATGTGGACACTTGACACAGAAATTAGCTTCACCCAATGTGTCCCCAGAAGAGGGCACAATCTTTACACTGAAGAAGAGGCAGCTGCTCTCTCAGCCTTCCTCCTCTATGTGACTGCAAAAACCAGGTAACTTAGTGTAGCTTGGTGAGCTTCAAAACTGCCTTTGGGAAGGGGAAATAAACTCCAACTGCGTGGGAAAACCTGCAGTGCATCACATAAAGGAGGGAGGGTAATACAAAAAAACCAAAACAAGTGAGTTTTCTTCTGGAGATACCTCTCATAAATTTACCAGGTGAGCTCCAGAGAATTATAGCCTCATAATTTTGTGTCATCCTTTTTTCCTACTATATGGACACATAACCTAAGGAACAAGATCAAAACCAGCCATCAAATCATTGATATCATATGAAACAGTGGTATTTGTCAACAAAGCACTTCTTAATCATATGGTAAAGTGTTCAGCTTGGGGTTGTTCCAGTTGGATTGATACAGCATTCCTAGTCCAAACCGTAAATTTAATTACCAGATTAAAGATTTTTAATGTAATATATTATTTTCCAGGAGTTGGTCTTTGATGATTGTTATGGGTTCCTACCAACTCAGGAAATTCAACAATTCTAGGCTTTCTTGCTGGCCTGTTGCAACTGATAACATATCTTTCAAATAATATTTCAGTGGCACACATGCACATACATGCACATTATGAATATAAAACAATTAAAGTATGTCAAAGTGTGTGTATGTAGGTATAAACACACTTGTCAAGTTCTGAGGTACAGAACTTGCATGCCATTTCATCATTCTTTTATTTATATTAGATGATTGACCTAGAAACTAAGAAATGCATTCTAATGTCCACATTTCCCAAGGGACAAGCCCTTGACTGGCACAAATCATTATGTACTTGGTGATTTCAACAGAACCACACGATTTATAAAAACTGAGGTGTGGACACTACATTTCACTAGCTACAGATCATTAGCTGCAGCTGCTGATCATATTCTTTAAAACACAAAAATCCCACATATTAACTTTACTGTCATCATGGCTTGGGGTGGGGGGGGAAACCCTAACAAACCCAAACACCTGCAAGTACAAACAAAAACAGCCACCAAACAAAAAGTGCAAAAAGTGGAATATTTTGCAGATATTTTGCAATGCTCTGTTCTGTTTTTCTGGAAAAATCTAATCCCTTTTAACAGCACTATTTCTAAAAATAACTGTCTTGATAAGCTGATAATCAAAAGAATTTGTCATTAATCTTACACAGCTGCTGCAAACACACAACTGGATTACATTACTCTGGAATCAAAGAAAAATCTCTTTTCCACCTTCAGTTTCCTGAAGAGTAATTTGACATAACTAGCATTAAAACAACTTCTTTGCACTCAAGAAGTGGTCACATCAAAAGCAGCACAGGTTTCTGTAAAAAAAACACTCCAAATTTTGCGTGAGACAAGATTCTGATCCTGCCCATTCTACTCAGATGCAAGGTCCTGACCCTGCAAGATGCACTAGCCAATTAACTCTCTGAATAACAGAGCTCCATGGAAAAGAACATGCTCTAACAAGCTGAACCTAGACAAACCCAAGCAACAAACACAAGGTAGGAGTCTTGACCTACAAAAGTACCTGAATTTTAACAGCTAACCTCTGGCTGTGATGCATTCTCTTATATAAAACCTTTTGAAGTAGCTGGGAACCTTTCTAAAAAACTATCTAGGTCAGAAACAAGTTAGGACCTGCATAAAGCAGGAAACAATACTGACTATCATGATCCTTTGATGAAAAACCAACAAAACAAATGATCCAAACAATGTATTAAAGTGATGCAAGCGTCAGGAACTGGTTTCTGAGCGCACGAGAGCAACAAACAAACTCCCTTACCTTGTTTACATCCAAATACTCCAACTTTGGCACTTCTGCTATCTCTTGCTCCTCACTGCTTCCTTCATCAATGTCACTGTCGTCATCCTGCGTGGAGTCTCTCTTCTGCTCTACAGAGGAAGGTTTGGTGCCCTTTCTGTCAGGTTCCATCTCTCCTGGGTTCCCAGCCATGCTGGACTTCTTCTGCTCGGCCCCTTCTTCACTGGGGAATGTTTCCCCAGCCACACTACAAGAAGGACTGTCAATGCCACTGTCTCTATTGGGAATTTTACCACTCCCATTCAGTTCTGCAGTTGAATCTTTACTGCCAAGCTCTTCTTGGGACTCTTTGCTCAAAGTCACAGCAGTAGAGTCTTCATGGCTTTTGCTATCACCTATGCTCAGCTCCTTAATTTTCATTATGTCTGTGTTAGTTAGATCCATGCTGCATGGTATGTTGGGCTCAGTTTCATCCAATTCAGTTTTGTCATTTGTGGAAGAGTCACTGGAAGCCACTGTGTCACGGTCACACAAGCTCATCTGCTTGGATGAGTCCAGGCCAGGTTCCATTTTAAGAGCTAAATTTAGCTGGTTTCTTTGAAGAATATGTACAGGTTGCCTGTGAGTGAAAACAAAGCACCACAGTCATATTAATACTCACGTTTCACAAGTGCCTGAAAGAGAGGGTGTGATTGCCATTTGATTCAAGCACCCCACTGACAATCCCAGAAGGCAAGAGTGTGCACATTTGCAATAATAATGATCACCCAACAACACCCAGCAAAAAAACATCACCCCTACATGCTACTGAAATGGCACCACCAGAATCCTGGGCCTTTAGTGCTTTCCATGTCACCTTGAAGAACAGTCTGGTTTGAGGGTTTGGAGAAGAAATCACCTCTAAAAAGAAGCAGTTGGTTCTGGGCTCATTTAAACAGAAACTCTCATTCTTCAACAGAACCAAGCTCTTTTGGCAAGGTGTTTTCTGCCAGAGAGGATGTGCATGAGAAGGCACTACTTTTCCTTTTTGAAAGACACCAGGTTCACCCAGGTGATAACACTCCAAGGCACAGTATGATGACTGTCTCCATCTCCCTCTTTGTGGAAAAAAACCCATCATTTAGCTCCATCAGGCAGATTTATTCTTCAGGAAAAGTTCTTGTGTGTTTGCAAAATGAGCTGGTTTTACACCAATATATATATATATTATCCAATTTAGTGTCTTTCATTACAAAGTTTTAAAACAGCTGCTGTTCTATATGACATTGTTTTACAGTACCCTATATACTTCCCTGCCTCCAAGAAGAAAGATCTGATGTTTATTGTATGTCAGACAAAATGCTAAATTAGTTAATGTCATAACAATCAAGTTCCTACTATGCAATTCCCACATCTAGCCAACTTACCAAAAGCAGACTGTGGGCTACTTGCCTTTGTTAGAATCTTACCAAATTCAGCAGGTCTTAAACTCCTTAAGCATGACTGCATGTTACAAACTAAAACTTGCAGCTTGTATTAAAAATATTCTTTATCCTCAGTGAAACTTTGCACTTCCAGTAGAAAACATCCCAAGATGTTTTCTACTGGAAAGTAGATGTACAAGATGACAAGATGTACATCCCAATGATTTCCAGGGAATCATTATAGTTAATGTTTTCTACTATTATATTCTAAGTTAAAAATGCAGAAAAGGGAGAGGAGAGCAGATCTGGCAAAGCCATATTTACCTAATACTTTCAAATTTCTCAATGAGCGTGTTGACTCCTGCTGATATTGGTATTTCTTCCTCTCCAGGTGCTAAGCTCCTTGATGACTTGGGATCAGCTGGCAAAGGCCGAGATGGTGCAGGAGGAATTCTTTCCTGCCCAGGTTTGAGATGGACAGGCTTAGGAGGTACTAATGAAAGAGAAGAGAAAAAACAGGAGGATAAATCTCCATCGTCTTTATCCTAAACTGGGAACAAAATCCAGACCAAAAGGTATCCATTCTTTCCTCATTTTTTATGAGCGGCACTGGTGCAGTCCTGAAGTATTGCTTGCACCAAAGCAAGCTGCTAAAGAAAATATGACAGGCTTCTATTTTGCGTCTCTACAGCTGCTCAGCCATGCTAACAAACTGAGCAGCTTGCAGCACTGCACTGCTTCCTCATTACCAAACAGGATGCAGAGCTTACGCTTCAGTTTGCAAATTTGCTTGCTATCTCAATCACACTAATGAGCTTCCCCTTCCATGACTTCTCAAAATTCTGGTACCCCATTGAATGTCTTATATTGGGGAAAAAAAAGGTAGAGGGATGAACCATATCCCAAAATAAACCTTTAAAACCCAACCCCAGCATGGATTTTGCATTTGCTTGGTCCAAAATGCCACAGGCTGAACATAATGGTTTTTCTTCCTCTCCTTCTCTCTCCCCCCTCTCTTCTGTGGTGTACTAGTCTTCACAAATTTCCTTCCTCTTTTGGTTCTACGTTGCGTTGTATATGGTATAAATAAAACAAGTCTTGTAAGAACACTCACATTCCTCTTCAGGACTCACAAGGAGGCCAAGGCACAAAGTTTAATACAGTATTTTTTAAAAATGGCATTAAATTGTAATGTTATTCTAAAAAGATTATTCAGACCTTAACATTAGTTGCAGAGTAAATTATTTAGCATAGACAGGCAGTAACTCATGGCAACAAATTCCCATGCTGTCATGGTTTCACACAGGGAAAACAACTCCCATAGGAAAAACTGACATTGGAAGGCAGGAAAACTGGCTGTGGGATTGCTCCCAAAGCACACACTGCATGGAGTAGGATTGCCAAGTGTGCCCTCCAATCTAGACTATCCAATGAGTTGACACATTACGTGAGGAAATTCTAACTACATGTTGTATTTTGAAAAAACATTTTTGAAAACAGTTTCTTTCAGCCATTTCTGACATGTCCCTCAGTTGGGACATGTGATCAGCATTGTAATGGGGCTTGAGTTGACAACTGTTCTGAATGTAATTCCAGGGTTACTTTCTTTAGGAGGATAAACTGAGGCATATGCGCCCAAAAAGTAAATTCCAGTTGTCCCTTCCTTGCATAAGTCCCTTCATTCTGCATTTGTTCTAAGATCCACATCAGCCCAGATTGCCCTGCTCCAGCCAATGGGGAGCTGCCACAGTAGTCCATAGCCAGACCGTGTCTGAGGTCAGTGATGAAGAGGTGTTAAAGCATTTTGGAGTTTTCAGTATAGGTCAGATTTTAGACTTCCTACATAACTGAGTTTATTTCAGCATGAAAGAATTAAATCAAAACTTTTAAAGATTTGAGCCTTAAGAGAACACTTCCTATAAGAGGACTGATTTGCCCAGTCTCCAAAATCATCTGAAATTTCTATCATAAAATAAAGATGTTAAAGTCCAATTCTGAAAGGACCTCTACAAGCCCTATCTTATACAGGAATAACAGGGAAACAGGAGAAGAAAATCTTCTTGCATATAAATGGGATGGTGAAGATCTGTGTTTTCAAGTGCAGACCACGTGATCAGTGAGCGTCTGACCATGTTTCTCCATGTAAAAATAAAAAACAACCTAAAAACAAGTAAGCACACAGCCATCTGGCCCATCAACCAAAGATAAGCTCTGTGCTCCTTACAGAGGGTGCACAGTGCAGCAGGCAGACATGTCAGAACCTACCCCACATACACCCAAGGTTTTATAATAATATCAAAGCATTTACACTGGGTCTCACTGCTGTCCATGTAAACATTTGATGTCTTTCCTGTTAGTGGATTCATCTGAATCACATCAGACAACAAATTCTGCACTGGACCAAAAGGATGCAGGAAAACCCTTTCGTTAATTCTGAATTTTTACCTACTGAAGTAATGTTGAGAAATGAAGACTTCAACATGGAGGCAAAGCCACTAACCCTACCAAGGACTACTTAGCAAGCAAAATTTCAGCCACACCAGATGTTCAAGACCACCTTGGTTCAAGGCCAAGTGCATCTGCATCAGGGGAATCCCAGATGCAGACTGGGTGGAGAATGGATCAAGATTAGCCCCAGGAAGAAGCACTTTGGGGTGTGGCTGTCAAGATATTTCACATGACCTGAGCACATGCACTGACAGCCCAGAACCTTGTAGTGTCCTGGACTGCATCCCCACCTATAGCACGAGCACCAGGTAATGCAGATTCTCTGCCTCTGCTCCATTCTGGTGAGACCCCACCTGCAGCTCTGGGGCCCCCAAAACAAGAATGATGTTGACCGGTTGCAACCAGATGAGGCCACAGAGATGCTGCAAGGGCTGCAGCCTCTCTGCTCAGGAGCTGGGCTGAGAAAGCTGGCAGGGTGTTCAGCCTGGGGAAGAGAAGGCTCCAGGAGGAGCTTAGAGCCCCTTCCAGTGACTAAAGGGTCTCCAAGAAAAGTGGAGAGAGAGACTTTGGACAAAGGCCTGGAGCACTAGGACAAGACAGAATGGCTTCCTGACTGACAGCAGGGTTAGAAGTGACATTAGGAATTAATTCTTCCTAATTCCTAATTAATTAGGAATTAATTCTTCCCCATGAGGGTGGTGAGGCCCCGGCACAGGTTGCCCAGAGAAGCTGTGGCTTCTCCATCCCTGGAAGTGTTCAAGCCAGGTTGGACACAGCTTGGAACAACCTAGTCTAGTGGAATGCATTCCTGCCTATAGCAGGGGATGGAACAAGATAAGTCTAAGTTTCCCTTTTCAACCAAACTGTGATTCTTTGGCTCTAATTAAAACTAGAAGTTTGCTACATGGAAGATACCAACATTACAAAGCACTTTCAGGTGCCACCTGAAGGCTGAAGCCATATGCTGGGAAGATATCTCCTCATTCCTCCTTCTCCTGAAGGTTTTACACAGCAGCTCATGGCTTCGAATCAAGCTATCTAGGGCCCCTCCAACTTTCTGAAATACACACATAGAAAAAACATCCTCAGTGATTGGAAATCAGTGCCCATGAATACAACAGCAAAGTATTTGCACCAGATGAATTCGTTCCAGTTCTCACTGAACAGACACTTTCGCTATTCCTTTTTGTTGCCAGTAATAACAACATTCATTCATGGAACAATCATTAATTAAACTTGGGCTACCAAGACCTCTAGGTGAAAGCTCCATAAAGACACAGACCTTGTGAGATGTGTCAAGCATTAAGTAGTATATTAATTTAATGTTTAAGGTTTACTTCCAGAAGCAGAAAATACTATGCTTTCTTTGTTGTTGTTTAAGGCTGAATTGCTTTTGTATAGATATTTTAATTGGGATGGGGTGGTAGTGCAATGGCTTAGAGTGTACAACACAAGAACATCTTCTTTTTCAGATGACAATGACCATCTATCACATGAACCCATATCTTCTAAACATTTTGGTTTACGAACGTAGTATCTTCTTGAGGCTTAGCTTCCTTTGTTCAAATACCTTTCAAGTTCCATGCTTTTTGCATCTCCAATTCCCTTGATGCAAGCACCCATTACACACATAAGTGCAATTAATTCTACAAAGCATGGGGTGGTGAGAGTAGGACTCTTGGCAAGCTGGCATTACAAAGACAGACCACATGTCATTTCACTGATGAAGAAACATGAAAACAATTTCTACTCTTTCAAGAATCTGCAATCGTTTTTGTAGAATTCAGAAGCCTGGGGAGACCAAAAGAACAGCTGGAACATACTACTTCCTGGCTCCTCTTCCATCATATTTTGGGTGTGCCATCTATTTGACTATTAGCTGGCAGTTCTGTGGAAGTACCACAACCCACGGGTGATTGGTTTAGCTTCTACACCATATTTTCAAAATACATTTGCTCAATCTAGGCATTTCCTGCTGCCACATGTAGTTCTTACAATAAATGGAAAACAGACCAGGTTTTGACAATAAGATATTATTACCTAAAATACTTCTAAAAAAATTTATCAAAAATATAAACAATGTTGCTAAATTCAACTTACGCTTCACAGCTGCATGAAGTATACCAACAGGACAAGAAATATAAAGTGAAAAGTTAAGTAACTGGTTATTGCTGAATCAATTTCTTCTTGAAGGCTTCTCTAGGTGGTTATTTAACATTGGGAAATGAAGATAATAAAACCATACCAGCTATACATTAGAATGCAAAAGTAACTGGTTTGCTGTGACTCAAACTGAAGCAATAATTTTAAAATATTATACTTCCTGTGCAATAGAAACTTGTACAATTTCTAGAAGGACAAAGCCACCTACCTTGGGGTTTCTGCAAAGGATGCATTTTGGCCAGTGCAGGTTTGGTTTTGGGCTTCCTTCCAGCCTGATGGAGACATTGTGCTGAGCTGATGTGCTGCAGTTCCCCACATGCTTCCAACGCAGGACTGGAGTCAATGTGACACTTGATTTGAAAAGGAGAACAAGGGCAACCTGAGGGAGGGAGGGAGGGAAGGAAAGGAGGGAGGGGAAGGAAGGAAAGGAGGGAGGGGAAGGAAGGAAAGGAAGGAAAGGAAGGAAAGGAAGGAAGGAAGGAAGGAAGGAAGGAAGGAAGGAAGGAAGGAAGGAAGGAAGGAAGGAAGGAAAATGAGGAAAATGTTAGTATGTGTTCTATCGATCCTGAAGAAAATTTGTGCTACTTCTGGAATTATATCACTCTTTCAAGTCCCTGAAGAAGGGAAGGGGGAAAGGAGAGGGGTGAGCCATTCCCTCACAAGTTATTACAATCAATATACCAGCATTAATAATCCTGTTAAACTGCCTGACTGATAAGACAGGCAGAATTTCCGCACTCCTGTCTTTAATGAATTATTTACATCTTTACCATAGGCACCCAAAATAAAAGAGCGAATATAAAAGTTAAAAAACATTTCAAAATTATTTCTCCAAAAAGAAATACAAGTGTTATAGCATATAATGTTCTGTTACTTGATAAAATACAACTGTATTAGGATGATTCAGGAATATGTTCCATGTGGTGGGAATGGTACAAGTGCCATTTCTTCAGATTTAATCACTCCAGTTATTTATTATTCCTCCTTATGTAAAAGATTAACATGCCTGCAAAAGCTCCAGTGTAGAAGATGCCATTAAGATACAATCCAGTGGCAACAGAGAGAAAGAAGTGGTTAATATGATTGTTGTTTTTTTGTTTTACATTCTTGATTCAATTCTATGAAGACTCAGCAAACAAACCAACATGGACCCCACAGTTTTTAATTTGAAGTTTTTTTGGATTTGTGGCAAGGCTACATAAAACCCTTACATCAGCTTTTCTAGTGTGTCATAAGAAGGCTGAAAAAGGAATTTAAAAAGGAATGTGGTTTAAAGTTGCTGCTTTTGAACATATAAATATATGGGGTTCTGGCAGTACTCAGAAATGGAAAACACATCAAATTTAGAAATTTGACATAAATGCACTAGAAAATGGCAAAGAAAACATTCTTTCCCTATTACTGTTTTGAAATGGACTAGCTGAATTTACCAGAATCTCACCAGAGTGGAGGGTGGCCTACATCACATAGAAACAATACATCTAAAGGTGAAAAACCCGTCTTTGCCTTTCTGTGATATCTTCAACAACATGGCTTTAGCTACAAAAATGCAACCTGCTTTCTCCCAGATTCCTATTAAGATCAAAAGCCTGAAATGAAAAGCACTCCCATTCACATCAACTAAATTTTCCTAGATTTATATTAATGGTATTAAATCAGGATGTGACCTTTTGAATAAAGCCCCTGGAGTCTGAGCCATGCAGACTGCAGATTTTGTTGTCAAAAATAGATTCAGATGGCACAAATCTGCTTACTGATCTCTGCCACCCAAATATACAATCCCTGAATTCTCCATGTATGGATGCCAGTTGCTGCTGGTTGAAGCTTCATTAGCATTTCTACCACAAATATCTTCTTTTCAGCAGATTTGAGACCAGCTATTAAAACATCCTTCCAGCTAAAACCAGGAAATTTTAAGTATTAAGTTCTATTCAAATATAATTTCATTTAACAGAAAAATGCGGTGAAAACAGAGAGGATTATTAGAGCAGATTAATAGATTACTGCAAACACATCATCACTGACAGAATTTACGCTGATGGCTTGGCTCTGGGTACCAAAAGCTCTCTGTGACAGTAGCAGTGCTGCCACAGGCCAGATTTTAAGGGGAGGGACTAGAACTTCTTCCTTATGAACAGTAGCTCATCACAGCCAGAAATTAAAACAGTGCACAAGGGAAAAGCTTGAATTCGAGAAAATTATAAAGGGCAGCATGCAGAAAAAAGAGCCCAATATTTCAGCAGGTATTCACTAGCATGTGACTGGAATGCAATCTAGCAATGTTGTATGTTCTTAAAAACTGCTTCAGTGATCCAATTCCTCAACGGTCAAATCTCTGCCCCTACCACAGCTCTAGAAAATATGAGAAGACCCCTCTGATCTGCGCTCTGTTGTGTGATGACACAGGCACAGCACTGGTTTCAGATCTGGCAAAGCACTGAATTCCTGGTAGATGCCAGACACGTCCACAGTCCCCCACAGGTGCTGAAGCAGGAGAGCCACAGCTTCTCCTGCCCTCAGACACCACATCCCCAGGAGATCCCCAACTGGACATCCTAAGCTGAGCCCAGCTACCCCATGCTGGCTTGGGATAAAGTACCAGTTACCCTAAGCATTCCCCATTCTTTTTTAACCACTGTCACATGTTGGTATCATTTTGTGAAATTTCAAAAGGAATTAAACCCCAATTGCTGTTTCTTTCCTCCTGGGGTTCATTGCTGTGAGCCACCTTACATTTATACTGAAAACAAAAGCTAGTGGCTCCTTCATTGGTTTCAAATGTGTGGCACCACCAGACACCCCTTTTGTCTAGGCAAAAACCTCTTACGAGATACTTACAGTACTGCAAGGTAGGTGTTTTGACCCTTATTTTATAAATTCACACATTAATTCTTCATCTTATGCTGCTTTATTAGCTCCAGCATTTTGCTCAAACCTACTTAAAGCTCATCTCTTCCTCCCGTCCTCCTGCTGAGACTTCGGCAGGGGTGTAAGGCAGTGTTTGTGCTGAGGCTGTACAGCCCTGCTATAGAACCCAGCTCAGTGACACTGACAACAATTAGCTTACATTTTTCAGACATTCCAAAACATCAAATTCAGCAAAAAGAGTGATAGCAGAGATACCACCATAAGCTTTCAGAAACAGATGCAATCAAACAAACATTATGCTCCAAAGCAAGCAAGAATCTGGCATGGACTGCAATTCCCCACCAAAAGAGAGGCATATCACTTACTTGTGACAGAGCAGAGACTCACACATTTTTTCTTACTTGCTTAAGTTGTAAGAAAACTAAAAAGAAGGAAGAACAGCTCCTGCTGCAGCTTTCATTTCATGGGTTAAATGCCATGTTCACAGGAAGTGACCTCCCCCAGCTCACTTCCGACCACCACTGCGGTTGGTGAGTCAAAGCATATAAACGTGGCAAATGCCCATGGAGGAGCTGTGCTAAGCACAAGTCACACGAGATTTCTGCTGGCTTTGACTTTCAAACCATCTGAAATGCGATACAAAGGATGTGGATGGTTTAGATGCCTGAATCTTCTGAAATAGAAAAGAGAAAGCTAGATTATGGAATCATAGATTCTCAGAATGGTTTGGAGCAGAGGGCACTTTAAACAAAAACCATCTTGTTCCAATCCCTTTCCATTAGACCAGGTTGCTCAGAGTCCCATCCAGCCTGGTCTTGGATGCTTCTGGGTATGGAACAGCCAGAGCTTCTCGGGGCAACTTCACCAACCTCAAAAAGAATCTCTTCCTAACATCCAACCTAAACCTAAGCTCTTTTAGTTTGAAGTCATTCGCCCTTGTTCTATCACTACATATCCTTGTAAAAAATCCATCTCCAGCTCTCTTGTAGGCCTCCTTCATATTTTTATAGAGTTTTTAAATTAAATATAGTTTGATATTAATGCAAGAACAGTCAGTAACAGCAGTAACATGTCATGGAAACCAACAAAAACACAGTTCTCAGCATGCAAACTCTCACTCTGCTTCACAGTCTGAGAAGGGAAATGAGGGACCACAAAAGTGACAATAAGTGCAATTCTACCAGCATGGGATGGAGCTTGCTCAAAGATTTACATCAAATGCCTTGAAGATGTTCAAAGATTCTTCTCCTATCCTGCTCTCCCATCAGAATCTCCATGGGAAATGATAAAGGATGAAGCAAAATCTAAAATTTTTGAATGAATGCTGCATTGCAGGGCAGACTCCATCTTCGAGGAGACACAGAGGGGCTGCTGCTTTGAACTCTTACAAAAAACACAAACCTGACAAACCCTGACAAATTGCTCAGTCTGAGCAGGGCTGCCAGAAATTTGGTCTATTCAGTTCATCTCACACCACCACAGAAACACAGACACAAAAAAAGTTTTTTGTGAAAGAAGCACATTGCTGAAATTAACAAATTTGTGCATGTAAAGCACAAGAAAGGACCAAAACCTTCCCTAGACCTATAACACTAGTATTTGGGAATTTGGGATTTGGTGTACCTTTATCCTGCTCTGACTAATTTTAACTGCCTTAGATGAGAATGCTTTCTCTAACAGATGTTTCATAGCTTCTCAAGTGTCACTACTGAACATCATTGTCATTGTATCTTCCATAAATCTGGATCAAAATACCCCACCTTTATTCTCATTAGATTTTCCTATGGTACATTCCTGCAAGCTAATCCAAATAAAGGCTGTGCTTTACCAGCACTAGCACACACCTTACATCTCATCATCTGAATCACAGCAGGCATATTCCTGAGGAGTTTTCAGCTCTGACTTCTGTTCTCCTTGAACAGGTTTTTACATACAAAGAGTAAAAACCTCTTTTACACACTCATTTCAGTGCAGTCTCTGTATCTGTCATTGCATTCTTGTTTTTATTGCCCTGTCCAGAACAGCACATAACCCAGCTACCTGTGCAAAGCTTTTCCAACACTTCTCTGCCTCTGGGACATTTCACACTTGATCCTGCAGCAAGGGATTTCTCCACAACTGCTTTAAAGGAACCATTACAGAATTTTCATTACTCATTTAATCTGGTATACTTTCATTTGAAGAATTAGCTTTTCAAGAGAAGTACATCAGCCCTTTCCTCACAACAATAAAGCACACTCCTTGTCCCACTCAATGCTCCCTAGACAGGGTAGTACAGTACAGTCCTCATGTTCTATCTTGCATGTAAATAAAAAAACTTCACACTGCAGACCCACATTTCTCCAGCTAGAAACACTCCTAGCACTGTTAGTTCTACATGAAGCAGGAATGCAGTGTCAGTACAGGCTCTCTGGCCCCCACCATTGCAGGGGCAGCTTGGGCACTAGGGCTTTTCTCTTAGATACGGGTTAGCTGGCAAACTGCTATTGAAAACTGGTTATTATAATGATT